CCAAGGTGAAGGCGGGCGCCGCTGGGGCCGCGCATGTGCGACCCCTCGCGAAGCGGCGTTCTGTCCCACCTGGCGCCGGACTCTGAGCTCTGGCCGGTCTGGATGGAGAGCGCTAGGAGTTTGTCAAGCCGGGTTTATAGATGGGAAACTGAGGCAGCGAGGAAGAAAGAGCTGCCATTTTCTAAGAATACATTGTGAACTGAAATATATCTTAAGCTTCTCCCCACCAGCTGACTGAGTGACTCCTGGCACAAAGGTACCTAAACTGAATGCCTGCCATGAGGAGGGAGGTCAGACATGCTCTTCATGACCCCCTTCCTTCGTAAACATCCTTTTAACTCACTAAGGGCTAAGCGTTTGTAGACAAACCTGCAGGGCTCAGTTTACACAACAAATATATGGCCAGTAGCTTTCTCTGATTAACAGACTGCCCACTTTTCTGGTCAAACCAATGTATGCCTTCTATGTATTAATTTATGACTTTACCTGTAATCCCTGTTTCCTTGAAATGTATAAAACAAACTGTAACCCAACAGAGGTAGTCCACTTGCTCAAGGTTTCTTGGTCCTCAATTTGCTCAGATAAATCTCTTTAAATATTTCACAGAGTTCTTCTTTTCTGTTGACAACACTAACATGTACTGGCTGTTTCCATCTATTACTCATTAAATCCTTACATTTATCAATTCTGCTATCATGAAAGGGAAACTGGCAATCAGCGAGTAAAGGGCTTCAAACCGCGCCTCAGGATCAGCATTCCGGAATCCTCCACCGCAGCTGCTCGGGACTGGTTGCTCAAAGGCAGAATTCACACACAGCGACATGGCAATCTCTGCAGATGCTAGATTGTTGTGTGTGTGGGGGGGGAATGAGGACGCAGCAGGGGGTGGCAGGGAGTCATGAGTTCTGACTCCTGCTCTATTTCCATCATTTCTAGGTTGCCAGATAAATAACAGAACACTCAGTTAAATTTGAATTTCAGATAGACAACAATTTCATTGTAAGTATGTCTTATGCAACATTTGAGACAGACTTATACTTCAAAAATTGTTTATCAGAAATTCAAATCTAACTGGGATCCTGGTTGTCGTTCTGTAATGTTTTGTTTTTGCTAAATCTATGTGTTTTCCTTATTGCTGTTATAACAAATGACTACAAACTTAGTGTGTTGAAACAACACAAATTTTTCGCTTACATTTCTGTATGGTAAGAAGCTGAAATCAAGGTGTTGGCAAGGCTGCATTCTCTCTGGGACTCAGGGGTGTATCTGTTTCCTTGCTTTTTCAGCTTGCAGAGGCACCTGCATTTCTTGGCTCGTGGCCCCTTCCTCAAATCACTTCAACCACTTGCTTCTGTCATCACACCTACTCTGACTCTAGTCCTCCTGCACCCTTCTTGTGAGACTCTTGCCATCCGATCATCCATGACAATCCTCCCACCTCAAGGCCTTCAATCAATCACATCTATGAAATCCTTTTTACCTGGTAAGGTAAGATATTCACAGGTTTCAGACATTAGCATGAGAACATCTTGTGTGTGTGTGGGGGGCAGGGACATTATTTATCCTATCAAATCTGCAACCTAATCCAAGCTGTGTAACCTTGGCCAAGTTACTCAAACCCCTAAAGGTTCTAGTTTCCATGGCAAAAAGCGGATTAAATGATCTCACAAGAGGAAACATCTTTCCTTATGCCAGGCAAACAATAAATGCTTAATAAATGGCAGCTCTTGTGGCAAAAGGTGAGGGATACCCCTGTCCAAACCAACTTTCTTTGGTGTTGCATAAGCTTGTCTCCTCAACCCAACCAGGATCTACTGGCGGTATATGGAGCCTAGACTACAAGCCTGGACGCTGGCAGCAGGAGGAGAAGAACTTGGTCTCAAGGCAGGGCAGGCTGGGAAGGGTTTCAAAGATGACTCCGAAGTCTCTTCCACTCCCTCAATTGAGGGCCACTATTTCTTGCCTCCTGAACAAGGAGGTTACATTTTAGAGAACTAAGTTATCTCAGGATTAGAAGGTCTCAGATAAACAGCAATGACTGAAAGAATTTCACTTTTGAGCAATAACATATGCCAGGCACCATGCTTGTACGATCTCAATTGTGCCTTACAACAGCCCTATGAACAGCAAGCTGGGATCGTCCCATTTGCAAAAGAGAAACTAAAATCAGAAAGAAAATGTTACTTGCCTAAGGCTCAACATAGTCAATGGACGTGCTGGATTTGAGCTCACATCTGTGTGACCCACCGTTCCCAATTT